AGATCATTCGTGCGCTACCAAGGAATCCCCTGCCATTAAAGCAAAATCATATTTCATTAGCAGTAGTAAGTTTCTACTAATGCCTTCAAAGGCAACAAAAAGTGGAAAAAAACGTAGTACAGTACTGGTGTCACTGGGGTTTGAGTTTATAGCCCTAGAGGCATGAGTTTATAGGACTGAATGTTTGGCGAAGTACTTGGACTCTACAATATGCTCCGTCTGATCATAGCCTGGGCAGAAGGAGAAAACTGATCTGATCTCTCGATCGAGCGTTGGAGTTCATCGGGATGAGCCACATTTGGTGTTGTGGCTGTCTATCAGGGCATCATCAGTTGCCTGCTTCCGACCATATCACTTGACTTGACTGCAGCAAACACACAACGTCGCAGACACAGCATACACGTATTGGCACTTGGCGCAAAACACAGCCTCTGTACTGTCTATTTTCCAGCAGTAAACTTTTTTCCACCAACACCGTCTTCTTTGACTTGTGATTTGGGGGAACCTTCTGTTTGTCGACACTACTAGCTGCGACAAGTCAACCAGGCCGGAGGTGAGCGCAGTTGGCTGGCGCGGCGAGAATCGCCACCCTAATATGTGGCATTTAATGTGACAGCTCATCCTCAATGCCATGTTCTGATCTAGCCCACGTTGATCAGGCACATCTGCTAAGCGGGTCACTTAGGGGACAGAACACGTACAAATAATAAGGTAGCAAAGAAGCGAACGAAAATTCACACAACCGACTACAGCACAGCATTGCGAAAGGGAATATAAATGTACAAGCGTATTGACACGAACAAAGGAGACAGAAGCACAGAGATTAGACTCCATTCACCGATACGGCAATCATCAAGAGCCTTCGTATCCATGTCTATTTAGGCTTCGGGGATATGCAATAGGTTAAGTTGTGACCAAACAAGTGGCCCAAGTTCAACACACATACCATTTAAGGTACCAAAATAGACCAGAAAAGCTTTTCTCTAAAACGACAACCGGATCTATGTGCGAACATCTCAGAAATTTAATGTTGTCCCCAGCGCCTGCTAAAATCACCGCCCTAGACAGCACAAACTACCAAGATATAAAAAATGCAGACTTACAGGGCACAAGAGATATAGACAACAGTGTGATTGTTCCAAGAGAATGACGGCTTTAGGAAACCCAGCTGAACATGCCCGTCCAAATGGTGCAGCCAGCCTAGTGCCCAAATTCATGAGTGCATCCTTTCA